CTCTGCCTGTGTGCCTCTCTGCCTGTGTGCCTCTCTGCCTGTGTGCCTGCTTCTCTCTGCCTGTCTGTCTGCTTCTCTCTGCCTGTCTGAGCTGTTTATCTGCCCCTCTCCCCTAACCCTACAGGCTGTACAATGGCAACACTGTAGGACAGCAGTTTGGACCCAAATGTAACCGTGGCGACCGCATTGGCTGTGGAATTTACCTGGACTCCTTCGAGACAGGACCCACTACGGTGTTTTTCACCAAAAATGGCAAGGAGGTGAGCCGCCAGTGCCGTGTCCCGCCTCAGCTTGGAGGCCTCGTCCCAGTAACTTTTTTGTTCCACACAGACTCTGGGGTCTGTGTGGAAGCAAAGCTCTGGAGATGTGGTTGGCTTCAGGTGTACTTAGTGCCTTACAGATTTCTTTTTTCGTCTTGCCGGGAGCGCAGGTGGGCTCGGTGGTGGTCCCCGCCTCCTCGGACGGCCTCTTTCCCGCCGTGGGCATGCACTCACTGGGCGAGGAGGTGCGGCTGGACCTGCAGGCGGAGTGGGGCTCAGACGAGGACGACAGCGCCATGATGGTGGACAGCCACGAGGACGAGTGGAGCCGGCTGCACGACGTGCGGGTCAGCGGCACGGTGAGGCCCCTTCCAGGGGTGGGGGTGGGGGGGTCACTGGGTGGCTGTGGTTCGCGGTGCGGGATATCCATGTTCCAAGCTGAGATCAGTGTCGCTGGTTTATACCGCGTTTTGTGGTAACGGCACACAGTGACGATAAAGTTCACCTTGACTGCACCCTGAGTGTGATCCGGTCTGGTGTGTGCTCACTGCTTCTCTGTATGGTTACACATGGTCTCTTTATACTCTTATTGTGGAGGCGGTTTGTGGGTCAACAGGTTAGGATGATGTGCCTGAAATCGAAAGATCACCAGTTCAAATCCCGTGTTTGGCAGAGTGATGTTAGGGTTTGGCCCTTGAGAAAGGCCCTTATCCTGCCCTGGTCAACCCTGTGCACTTATCTGTCCATCACTTTACATAAAAGCACCTGCTAAGTAAGCAAATGTAGTGGAGATGAGGCCGGCTATGAGATGAATTTGCAACTAACCAGTGTGGAGTTCATGACCAGCTCCGTCCCTTCCAGTGGATTGCCAGTGTTGCACTGTAATGCCCCCTTTCACGGTCTACAAATGTATAGTGAGGAGTGCCAAGTTAAATGCCACCTTATGAGGCAATAGGTGTGTAATTAACCCTGAGATTAATGAGCTAAAATGTGTGTGCATAAAATTTCTTAAGTGACATTTTCCAAAATCTCAGGTATTTTATACAGATATTTATACTGTACCAATTCAGGTTCAGTTGTCTGTTCAAGGCTCCTATAACAGGGCTTCTCCTGGGATTTGAACCAGCAACTGTCAGGTAAGAGTCCATTTGCTGGTTCCCAGCTGCAGCCAATACCCAGAATCTGAATGCTCACGGAATTCCTTTCGGTGAGTTGGTTACGTTCCGTACATGCAGTGCACAGTACAGCGAGTGCAGTACACTCTACACTCCATTGTTCTGGTGTGAATTTAAAAGTGTACAGACTGCATGGTCTAACAGGAGATGATACTTACTGTTTGTGCTGTAATAAGTATGAGGAGAGTCTGTGGGGCAGCTGGCTTTGGGTTGCTGCAGCCTGGATCGTGCTGAGCAGGAGTCTAACCTCCTATGGAGATGAGTCACACGCAGGTAAACAGGGCTGCTCCTTCAAGGCCGGCATGCAAACCTGATCTCTATTGTCACCAGCTTGAGGTGTCAGCCAGTGGTAGGCAGTGCCTGATGCCCTATGACATGTCGTACTGCTGTGTCATGCTCTGCCCCCCCCGCCCACCGCCACAGCCCTAGCGGTGGGTCTCTCTGCCCTCGTCCCATTGTCAGTTTTTCCACCCAGCGGGTGTTGCATTTGCGATCCAAGTACAGAAGCTTCTTGTTTTTCTTCTGCTTGTTCTCTCCGCTACTTCGGAACCGGGGGGGGGGGGGTGTTGGCATAATAGATCTCTGGAAGTCTACAACCACAAATCAGAAAAAGTTGGGACAGTATGTTAAATTAAAATCAAACTGGAAACAGTACTTTGTTAAATTATCTTTGACCTGTATTACATTGAAAACAATACAACAGCACATTATTTAATGTGTTCCTCACGAATTTTATTGTTTTTCTCAAAATAAACTCTTGGTTTTGGTTCTTGCAACACATTTCAAAAAAAGTTGGGACAGGAGCAATTTAGGGTTAGTAATGAGGTAAATTGGTTAAATAATGATGTGATTTGAAACAGGTGATGTCAACAGGTGATTGTAATTATGATTTGGTACAAAAGCAGCATCCAAGAAAGGTCCTTTAGGAGCAAAGATGGGCCGAGGATCGCCAGTTTGCCAACAAATATGTGAGAAAGTTATTGAAATGTTTAAAAACAATGTTCCTCAAAGAAAGATAGGAAGAGATTTGGATATTTCACCTTCAACAGTGCATAACATAATTATTCTGGAGGAATTTCAGTGCGTAAAGGACAAGCTGAACAACCGTGATCTCCGATCCCTCAAGCAGCACTGCATCAAGAATAGTCAGGACTACTTTGGCAAACCTTTGTCAAGTACCACAATACGTAGTTACATCCACAAATGCCAGTTAAAACTGTACTGTGCCAAAAGGAAGCCATATGTTAAGTGTCCAGAAGCGCCATCGACTTCTCTGGGCTCGGAGGTATCTGGGATGGACCATCACACAGTGGAAACCTGTACTGTGGTCAGATGAATCAGTATTTCAGGTATTTTTTGGGAGAAATGGACGTCGTGTGCTCCGGACCAAAGAAGAAAAGGATCACCCAGACTGTTACCAGCAGCAAGTCCGAAAGCCAGGGTCTGTCATGGTATGAGGTTGTGTCAGTGCCCTTGGCAAAGGTAACTTGCACTTCTGTGATGGCACCATTACTGCTGAAAAGTACATAGAGATTTTGAGGCACAATATGCTGCCTTCAAGAAGACATCTTTTCCAGGGACGCCCATGCATATTTCAGCAAGACAATGCAAAACCACATTCTGCACACTTTACAAAGTCCTGGCTGCGGAGGAAGAGGGTTCGGGTACTTGACTGGCCTGCCTGCAGTCCCGACCTGTCTCCAATAGAGAATGTGTGACGCATTTTGAAGCGCAAAATGCGACAACGAAGACCCCGTACTGTTGCCCACCTTAAGACTTGTTTGCAGGAAGAATGGGACAAAATTATACCTGAAACACTTCATCACTTGGTGTCTTCAGTCCCTAAACGTCCTTTAAGTGTTGTGAAAAGGAATGGCAACATTACAAAATGGTAAATGCTTTACTGTATTAACTTTTTTTGAAATGTGTTGCAAGAACCAAAATTATTTTGATGATAACAATAAAATTTGGGAGGAACACATTAAATAATGTGCTGTTGTATTGTTTTCAATGTAATACAGGTCAAAAAGAATTTAACAAAGTACTGTTTTCAGTTTGATCTTAATTTAACATACCGTCCCAAGTTTTTCTGATTTGGGTTTGTACGTTGGAATTGACATGATCTGTGATTCGACTAGAAATTTTTCGGGATCGTAGCCATTCCACAACACCCTCATTGGCTGTGGTCATTAAAATGAAACTCTGGTTCTGGTCCCCTTTCTCTGAGCGGCGCGTTGGGTTCCATGTTCCCGGAGACTCGGCGAGAGGCGACCTTCGGCACTGCCAGCATCCGCTGACATTTTGCCTGAAGAACTCTGCTGTACTTGGGACCAGACAGGCCCGCTCTGGTTCAGTGAACCAGCTTGGAATCAGACACACACAGGCGACTGAAGGTGACAAAGTATCCTGTAAAACATCAGTGTTACAAACATCAACAAGCGATTTATCTGAATGACTTCTTGATTTGCCTCTCAGCCAAGATCTCCTACTCGTCCTCTTTGTAGGACAGACAGGCTTTGCAGTCTGCGTGTCCATCTCCTGACGTGTGGCTGAGCACATGTGCCTCCCGTGTGACTGCAGCCGGTCATCGTCTGCTCTGTCATCCACAGCTGCTGGCCACCTTGCCCCCACCTGCTCTCTACTGCACAGTGGCATGTTGAACGCTATATAATGTTGAACGCTATATAATGTTGAACGCTATATAATGTTGAACGCTATATAATGTTGAACGCTATATAATGGATGAAAGCTAGTGCTGGTGACACAATGTCATGCTTTTCTTAGGTGGTGCCATGAGGCAGTATGACTTGGCAATGGGGTCAAAGTTCAACAAGCATGCAATCTACCTACGTCAGAACAGCATACAACCTTGTGTCACAGTTTCTGGGTGGGGTTCATTCTTGGAGTGTGTTTTTCTTTTTTTCCCTCAACTCCTACTTCTAACTTGTTAACTGAAAGATTAACAGTATCACCCCCCCCTCCCCCGTGAGCATGTTGGTAGAGGCCGTTGCTAAGTCCCTGTTGTGGTTGCCGGCGGTTTGTCAGTGGTGACGGCCCCGCACAGTGCGTGAGTCAGACCTCAGCGATGGATCCGTCTCGCGGACACGTGCGTCATGCGGCCGGCTCTGCCGGCGTCCTAACTTGTTCTCTCCATCTCCCCCATTCCACGAACCGCCTCTGCCACAGATTTATGAATTGGGTGTCCTGGGATTAGAGGGCGTGGGTTCGATCGGACGTACCCGGGGTAGCGCGTTACGGTTGAACTGAGAGCCCCACCCTCGTCAGCGAGACGCGCCTGGGAATCACGTTGCTCTTCTCACGTGTCCAAGACGCTCTCTGCCAGAGGGCCAGCTGGCTGTCTCACGTGCGCTTTCTAATGAAATGATGAGTAAACCCGGAAAGTGAATGTGACATTTGCCGGATACACCCTCTCTCTCATGCACATCTATTCCCGTTATCCTCAGTTCTGGAGAATTAACCTGCAGGTGAGCGCCCAGTGTCCTCAAGCTCTCCGTACGACCAGGCCTGCCCACACGTGCCAGCTGGTCACATAGGACTTCAGCAGTTATGCAGATGGAGCCTGTTGCTTGGGTGTTCAGACTGAACCACAGACATAGGTGTTCGGTGACGCCGCTCTGAGTGGCACAATGTGAAAAAGATGTTGGATCTCTTCCTTTGCTGAAGATATTCCAGAAGAGTATTTAAATGTCTAAAATGTTTAACATGGCCGCAATATTAAAAACCAACGTGAACTGTATCCTGCTGTCATTTTCAGTGCAGGCAGACCCACTCACGAATGTGATTAACTCGCACCATTTCTTTGATCAACTAGTGTAAAGGAAAAACCATCCTCCATTTCGTTCCTTTTTCCGGCGTTTGACTGCGTGCAGACGCTGAGGAAAGTTCCTCTGTCTCCTCGGCTCTGTTAGAGACTTCCATTTACATTTCTTTGAAGTTGGAGAATAAAATGACAGGGAAATTTAAATCACCTGTCTCTGATCTGCCTGTGGGCTGTAAAATCAATCGGAACGTTCTTTTAAATACACCTACGATTTAAATAGTTTTCAGGCTGTATCATTAATCAATTTTTTTTTATAGAATAGCATGAGCTTAGAGGTGTACAGTTTGTAAAGTATTTGCATGTTGAATTATGGACCTCTTTATATACTGGTGAATGGCTTATG